TCTTGATACGTTCGATCATGTGCGTTGTTGTTATTGTTTGCCTTTGAAAAGGGTCGAGGTTAAAGGTGAGTAATTATATTTAATACATGTATATGTACATGGTACATGATCCAAGTCATGGCGGCGCAGATATGTGGGTTGTGTTTTCCACACCTGAAGTGCATATATCAGGCAGGAATGTAGGTTTGGGCCGAACTACCCTATTAAAGAACCACTAAACTTTGTTTTTTGTTACTCTTTTAACCATTACATATGAAAGATTTGTGGTTAGTCTTATGCGGAACACCAAATTTATTCTTTAAAAACTTGTGGTTAATTAATACCGAGCGATTAAAAGTGGCCAAAAAGTCGCCTGCTTCCCTCTCGCCCGCCAACGAAACCACAGACAGGTTACGTAACTCTGTCGCCAAAGCACTGCAGTGACGTCATATGAGGAACGATTTTCAGTTAGTTGTATAGAAAATGTGTAGCACGCTCATCATTTTGATGATTTCTCGACATCAACGACGACATGCCGAATCGTTGCTTTGTCGTCAATTGCTCCTAGGGGTCGGGCGATGGTGTCACCATGCACAGATTTCCACAGGACCCCGCAGTTCGTGCTAATTGGGTTATGTTTGTGAGTGCGAAGCGAGCGTTGTGGAAGCCTGAAACGATATCTTACTTGTGTTCAGAACGCTTCACGGAAGTTAAAGAATCAAAACTACTTACTAGTTGTAGTAAAATATGCATATGATTGATGACAATAGAGATTTTCTATGACACAACTTGTAACATAACGATTTCTTCCTCGGAAGTGAGGTTGTGGTCGAAGTAACAATAATATTGTAAGTAGTATTATATTGACACCCACCTCGCTGCCACGAGAGAAATTGTTATGTTATACGCTTTGTCATGCAAAATCCTATTGGCCATCAATAAAATACATATTTTACTACCAGTAGAAAGTAGTTTTGATTTTGTAACTCGGTGAAAACAAACCTAAATACCATTTATCCTCAGACTGGCGGATGTTCCCGACAGGGCGCCGCCATTTTTAAAAATAAAAAAATCTGTTAGAATTAATGAGATTATAGTTTGTTTTCATCAAGTTAGAAAATCAAGACTACTTTCTACTCGTAGTTAAATATGTATTGGAATCATAACCAAACGGATTTTGCATGACACAACTTATAACATAACGATTTCTTCCACGGAAGCGAGGTGGGGGTCGAACTCACCAGTATGTAGATACTAGTCAATGTGCGTCTTTATATTTGGTCTTATAATCCTAGTTAGTTTATTATCATACTTGTATGCATTTTGAAACTAAATAAAAAGCAGACGATCTGCTGATACTTATAGTGAATTTATAACAGAACTGTAATATCTAGACATTTTATAGTTTGCCAATGTGAATCATAATTCGCACACACACCCTAGTGCATGTTGTCTGTCTCATTACACTTCACGGCGAAAACAATGATTCTGTTGAATGCTACGACAAATGAATAAAAAACAAAATGCAAATATTAAAATTAAAAGAGATTAAAGTTATAGGAACAATATCAGGCCATTACCTTGTTCGAGGAATGCATCCATCAATATCCACAAAACTGTTCCAAATGATGTGTCTTTTAACTGTTTAATATACGAAAAAGAGATAAATCTTTTCAGGTATTGGTGTATAGTCTCATTGGTCACCCAAGATAGCACACCTGGCAACTAATTGCATAATGTCCGCCTTTCTTTAAAAACAGTAATTTAGTTAGCCAATAATGGGCAATCAATCAATGTATTGCCGGTTAATCCTTTGAAAGAAGGACGTTGTTTTTACGCAGACACCGACACGACAGAGTGTATTCAGTATAGATTAGTAAATCTACATACATAAACACTACCTTTTGACAATTCCCCTGTGTAAGATAAAAGTAGTTTATCAATCAGCGTGTTATCGGTTAATCCTTTGATCGATGTTTATAATGTTGAATATTTACTCCAGACACAAGAAATGCCAAATGGGAACCTTTGTCGGGTAATCTAAGTGTGTTACCACTAATTATGCCTGTTATAAATTCATTAACTGACCATCAAGTGAATGATGACAAATAACATGTGTAGGTTTATACCACCTAACACGGGTTACAACAAGAGAGTATTAATTGCTGTATTGCATGTGAAAACTTATGGGCCGACACTGTTTTGAGAATACAGATTTTTACATGACATGATTAAATATCGAGGTAAAAAAACACATAAATGGGATCAATTTGGATCAGTCATTATACAAATAGGGCCTAACGACACCAAGCGATTTTGACAGAATCGTCTATGAAAACAAGTTGTAACTCGGAAACTAGGCAAAGCAGGAGACAAAATTAAATGACAGTAGATTGTGAGAACATATAGCTTTCATTTTCCACAACAATTGTCGCGATTTCAGGTTTATACAAGCCTGTAAACAAGATAATTTAACCCCAAAAATGTAGATGAATTCTGCATCGGCCCTCAAAGCTATTCCTCATATGACGTCACAGAGGCGCGCCGCTCTCATTGGTTGAAATTTCGTTCGCGGGTGAGAATTGGGCACTGTTGTCAAAAAGGTCGATTTCAGTCAATTAAAGGTCGAAATGAGTAGTTTTAATGACGGAGTTTCATTTATAACGATGCCAGTTAGTGATTTATGTAATTGTACCCCCTAGGGTTTATGTGACCTTTAATATCCCGTTCAATATAGGCAGTCAGGGAAAACACTGTGAATATCATAATGTGGAAATGGAAGGCCAGCCCATGACATCATCACCAGCGTTAGTAACAACAAGGTGGGGCTCGACGTTGTCATAGTAACCTGTCAGTCCAGTATCATGTAGCTGCTTATGTGGCAGAAGTACGTGGGTGAAAACCTGTCTCCGATACTGTGTGGCAGGATTATCCTGGACGACAAGCAGTTGAGATTGGCACCATTTGCGCGAATGTGCTCCGAAGATTACTACGGACTTGCATGGTAAATAATATGGTAACTATGGTAAGGTAAATAAGATCTCAGTGATCCCAGTCTGACTGCTCGGGTACAGAGGCTCACATGCAGTTTGCATATCACACACACACACATACACACACACTCTCTCTCTCTCTCTCTCTCTCTCTCTCTCTCTCTCTCTCTCTCTCTCTCTCTCTCTCTCTCTCTCTCTCTCTCTCTCTCTCTCTCTCTCTCTCTCTCTCTCTCTCTCTCTCTCTCTCTATATATATATATATATATTGTAACACCCTTGGGGTGCACGTTGGAAAACAAATAACACAAGGAGACGATGAAGTAGAGAGCAAAGTTTGCCGTGATATATGCAAACTTTGTTTTAATTTTGTTTCAATGGCAAGAATGTAGATGGGATTTTGTTAGCAATGCACTAAAATAAATGATGCCAATAAATATCACACACTACTCGGCCTGTATATATATATATATATATATATCTAATGACAAGGCTCAGTCTCCAAGGAAATAGTTATTTTGTTATTTCAACTCAAATAGCTTGCAGAAATGTTACTGTGTATGTAATAAAGTTATTAAATTGATTGTAATTTGACTTAAAATATATACCTAGAAGCAGTTATGGTGATAAATCTAAGTCAGGTGAGGTGCCAGGTAAAAATATGAGCAGAAGCCTTTAATCAGACTGAAAGTCTTATTTTATCTAAATCGAGTGACCCGAGTCCGAATGCGAATCCGAATCGAGTGTGTCAGGCCTTTACCAGTGATCGTATTTATAGGCATCATCAGGAGGTCATGTGACCTTTCTCAACCAATCAGAACACAGGTTTGATGGCTTGCATACAAGAAACGCTGCATAGGCAGTTTCATTTCTAACACAAGTAAGTGACTACTAATTGTCCTTATGTTGCCCTTCTTGTCCGAATACAATTAGGACACAGTAGAAATAATCAGGACATCGAGACATTTTGTTATAATAAAACGGACAATATCTTTCCGTCAACGTAGCGTCAGTGGCCGCCATCTTGGTTTGTGGTCGGCTCTATGACAAGTGAAATTTACAAAAGCATCAGTTTCCTTTATCATATGGTATTGTCCTTATGTTAAATAAAGTGTCCGAAAAGATCAACCATGATGGACAAGTGAGATTTGTGTAAACATGTTATATAACAAGAATAAGGACAACGATTATATTTAGGCCAAGCGGCGGGACGACATTTTGACAGACGTCAAATGTATACTAAGACCATTGACAACTTTGGCCCAGTGTACCATCAATATGCCCTGTATCCAGGAATTGATGTTGTCCTATGTGTCCTTTAACAATTCGGACACGAACAAGTTTGCTAAATTATTTGGTAAATGCAAACAGAGAAAACGGACAGCAGACTGTCAATTAGGGCCTAGAATGATTGTTGGCAACAAATGTCAAAACACGAAACGACTGTCATATTGCAGGTACAAATGTAGGAAATACAGGTGGTTATACATTGTCCTCTATATCGTAAAGCAAGGCATTTCTACCATATAATGCAGGAAAATACCAGATAATGAATATGTGGCTTTGATATAAAAACGGACATCCAATTTATAATTAGTCACTCAGCCTAACGTAAATGTTGTTGACAGGTCATCGTAACCCGAGAAATGTCAAACAGATCAAATTCGTTATTCAGTTCAATCAAGTGTAATTTTCATTAGTATGTATCATGGAATACACTTTACAACACTTCTGAGCAAGAAAGTTATCAGAAAATCGTCATTAACAAGTGTAATAAGTCATTGTTTATCTGGGTCAAAAGTCACACTTACTTTCTATAAATAGCCACGAAGCAGGAGTGTACACAAGAATTAGTCCCTGACAAACATCGGTGTTAACACTCAAAATACACAATGATTCAAGAAAGTGAATAAATACATCATTTGGAGACATGAAATACATAAGTCTGTACAATAATAGTACAGAATGACATCAGTAGTAGAATCCTTCATGGATGTAAATAGCGTAGTGACACACTGTGGTAATTAGGTCATGTCTGACAAGTGCTGCTACCGCGAACGTTCAGTGCTTGATAAAACAACTATCAACAGTGAATTTGCCCCCTTAAAGATACTTCAGATCTGTGAACTTCAGAATCAGGTAACTGTCTATGATGTTGTTAGGTTAAAATTTACTTTAATGTTAAAAATATGGATGGACATTTGCAGATAGATCGTGATATAACGAAAAAAGGTGACACTTATGATTGACAAAGTTTACATGATGTTTTTAATACTTATACTATATCAATTTAGATTCTATTACAATATATATATAAATGTGTGTGTGTGTGTATGTATGTATGTATGTATATACAGTTAGATAGATAGATAGATAGACAGGTAGATAGACATCCGTTTATATTTAAAGTGTGTCTGTGTCCGTGAGTGTGTTAGTATACAGCTTCACATGCAGATGCGTGTATGTTCAGATCTTCCATTGCTGCTTATGGCATCTGTAGTGAGTAAAGCGTAATTTATTTGTGTTAAACAAAACAGGCACAAACTGCATGTGTATCTTACAGATGGCTACAGCCGGGCTAGAGAAGAAAGTAAAGGATGATTTCCTGACGTGCTCCATCTGCTTGGAGATGTACACAGACCCGTGTACACTGAGGTGTGATCACACATTCTGCAGGAAATGTGTCACCTCTTACATCCAGACCAGACCAGATGCTGTACAGTCCAAGACCATCCCCTGTCCCTGCTGTCGACAAAATACCAAGGTCCCCAACCCCAGGAGGCCGATAGAGGAGTGGGCGGGGCAGATCAAAGCCAGCATTTTGATACAGGGGCTGATTGACACCTATAGGTCTGCGGAAGATGTGCAAGGTAAAGTGAAAATAGGATATGCGTGTGTGTATGTATGTATTTAAAACCAGTGGTAGACATATCATTGACATCTGTGTGTGTTAAATATACCCTGCTTTCTTGAGTAGCCTTTTCAAGTTGTGATTAAAATAAGTAGGTTTGTACTTGTGTTTACAGAGACCTCGAGCACCTGTTGTACGATCTGTCAGCAACTAGGGGAGACAACTCCAGGGGCCTTGCGGTGTCCTGAGTGTGTAGTGGCCCTCTGTATCAAATGTGTGAAGATACACCGGGTGACACCCAATTCACTAAACCATGACCTGTGTGATCTGTCGTCTAGGTCAAAGGTCAAACGGAGGATCAAGTGTACGAAACACAGGATTAACCGTGTTGAGTTCCACTGTCAAAACTGTGGGAAGGCTGCCTGTCAGACATGTTGTATCATCTACCACAGAGCTTGTAAGGCTGTCGTCACCATTGAGTCTATGAAGCCAGGGATGAAGGCAGCACTGATGGGGAAGAGACTTGGCATGGAGAAAAGACTGAAAGTGAGGTCGAAGAAAGTAGACATACGAAACGAGAAGCTCCAAAGTAGTTCTAGAATCACAGAGTCAGCTGTTCAAAATATCAGGTTGATCTGCCAGGCAGCCATTAACAAGATTAAACAGAAAGAAACACAATCCTTGGATGAACTGAATAACATATCACAGACATACGCCGACCAAATCCGAGCTGATGTGAATCTGGAAGAGATCGAGATGCAGATGTACAGACAACATTGTGAGTTCATTGACCAGGCCTTGGTATCGGACTGTGAGATGGACCTGTATGAAGCGTATCAGGCCTGGGAGTCTGGAGCTGTAGAGATGGAGGATGTCAGATGTACAGAGGCAGCAGACATCCGGAGAATAGATGACGTCATCTTTACACCAGACACTGACAACGTAATGAAGGTCCTGGATAACCTGCAGTTGGGGGAAGATTGACGTCACATACGCGGATCAGGGTACATGTCAGCCATCATCAGTGTTGGTTGACACGATAGATGGGAGGGTGTCGGATGATGAGAAGGAACCTTACCTACAAGACATAACAGTTCTGATTATAGATGGTGTACAGACATGTGTTGTTACGGACACTAATAACATGTGCGTGAAATCATACTTCACAAGAAATAGTCAGTCATGCCATAGTAAACTACCCCTGGATAACTCTCTACGTGGGATAACACTGTTGAATGAGAAGTAGGTGATGGTTGCTGTCCCTTTATCCCGTCAGATTGTAACGGTAGAAGTGACCCCCGACCTGGTGCTGCTCTCAACCATCACAACATATACCGGGACACTACAGTCTGGCTGTTCTGAATCATTCATCTCTAGCAGCAGGTACGGGGAAATGTGTTGATATCCTGGACATGGCTGGACACGTGTTGAGGTCAATCACTACACGCAATTATGACTCACCGTTTACCTACGCCAGGTACATGTGTGTCAACAACAAGGGCAACATACTCGTGTGAGACTGTGGGAGGAAGTCTGTGGCATGTCTGACGTCAGAGGGGGATGTTTTATGGAGATACTACCGTTACGTATACAAGGCAATCGGCTACCCTTGTGGTATCACAACTACCAGCACAGGAGACGTCCTGTTTGTAGACAGCCGCAGTGGCAAGGTGATACAGCTGACAGAGTCGGGAGGGTTTGTCAGGGAGCTGCTCACGTTAGAATATGGCGATAAGACAGGCATGCGCGATATATTTTGTGATAAATACGGTTTCTTATTTCTATGCACAGGCACGGAAGTGAAAGAGTACATGTTTTTCTGACACAAAACTCAAAAGAATGAAAGTCAGTGCAGAGCTCTGGTTTATGACATTCTGTGCATGGTGTTCGTCTGGAATGGCTTGTGTCTTCACCAAAACGTATGGGCATAGCTTTGTCAGTGAATTGCAGACATGCAATATTCAAATAGGTCGTTTCCAGCATGAAGTGAAATAGTCCACCAGGTGAAAGATCACCCGGTGAAACACACCAGCTGTTGTGGAGATTCCTGGGATGACCTGAGCTACACAACGACTACTTGATCTCAACAGTGTGCTGAACCAGCTGAAGTGTGAATAATCCCTCAAGGAAATATTACTCTCCGTTATCCCTATGATAGACTAAAGCTAAGATAGAGTCTGGTTATATTATTTGTTTTTCGAAAAACGAAGAACGTTTTGTGTTGGATAGAATTGAGGAATAACGAACCCGGTGCTGGTTAGGTTTTTTGTTACTCGGAAGTGTACATGTTTCCGTGTATATGACCACACCACTGTATGCGTATTTAGAATGATCTCATCATCCGTTCAACAAAGCATGGGCCCAATCAAATTCCAAACGATATTTCTAGTATTGACCGTTGTTTCCTAAAGCCATATATAATTCCTTTCAAAATGTTTAGACTCACTAGTGTAATATACTTCCCATCAAAAGTCTAGACTGTTTTAAGTGAGTGTAAACTTTTGAAAGGAAGTATACAAATTGAAGTCTTGAGGTCAAGGATATACTGTATCCCTGTTTTCACATATTATACACAGGAGACACTATGTTGAAATGCCACCCCAAGCCAAATTGTTCTCTTTTCAGATTTAATTACTTGTTAGGAAGTAAAATGAATGTGCGCAGTTTTTATTTCTGTCCGTTAGATGACCCTGAAGTTGAGAAATTCATGTGATAATATGGTTGGACAAGGAAATTTAGTGAGATTTCAGGTATTAAATTATATTATTTCGTAGAGCAATGCTAACATTTGAAATATTGCACATGTATATTTCAGTCTTTTGTTTCTGTTTTGCTTCGTTTCTCTTTGTAGCGATGAATGAACGATCGCGAGTTGTAAGTCAATAGAATGTGGTGTAATGCCGCTTTGAACAGCTGTACTATAGTGATTCACGAGAGACACACAAAATACTGTGAATAGACTATACTAGAGAGGAGGACAAGGAAATTTGGTAACATTTCGCCCAACCTTTTACAGATGTAATTGCTGGGACGAGATCGCAAATCTGGTATACCAGTCTGAGATACTGTCAGTCTAGATTGGACGTATATATCAGCTAGCGACAGTTATTCTTTGACGGTGATACTTTTGGTGAAAAAGTTGTAGGTAATTAAATTGAAATCACATAAAGTGTCAGTTTGTTCAAAGTATGTTTCTGTTGCTCTTAGTGAAATTGGCCATACTCTGTTTATGAAAAACGTCAAGCATATTTGTAAGGACCCATGGTATTCCATTTTCATAAGATATGTGATTACAATAATAGGAAGGATACAGTTTCCCTAACAACCACATGCATGATCATTCCTGAAAATTTTAAACAAAACCCTTTCCACATTCGCGGAAAAATTATTAAAATTACACTTGAGTGTTTGCCAGTTCATTTGACCCGGCGTTAAAATGAGGCAACATTTTCTTGTCTTTCTTTCTCAATATTCATTCATATGTCTCTGGTAAATTTCACTTAGCTGATTCAAACAAGTTTCCGGAGCATATCAGGCTCCGATTTCTCGAAACAAACTTAAGTCTGAGTTTTGCCTTAAGTTCGAGTTTTTACTCAAATTTGAGAAAATGCATTTCCCAGAATGAACTAAAATCGATAATAAACTCAAACATAGTGGACAATTTGAGTTTGGTGGATAGATGACTTAAGATGTTTGGGCTCTTTTATTTACAAAATGCAGTTGAGTTTAAAATTCAGCTGTTTCAAATTGTCAAACTCAGTTTGAAATTTGAGTAAAAACTTAAGTTTGTTTCGAGAAATCGGGGCCAGATGAGTGTCTGTGCCCCCTATATATTATCTGATTTATCAAGGCAATACGTCGAACTTTTGTCAAAATGTAGAAGCATTTTGTTTCTTGAGCATGACATAAACTGTCTAGTAATAATTCTGAAAAATGATCGAAAAAACGAGAGAAAATATCCATGATAGCCTAATAGGGTCTTATTCACACGAAGGTATTTGTGTTTTTTGTTTAACTGCACACAGAGCAATATTAAAGCTGACAATCTAAGCTGAGTTCAAGTAGTGCATGATATTTATTCGTGTTCGATGATAGTTTCTGACTAAGGTTAGGTCGCATTTCAGCCTGAGTAGCAATGTGGTCCTTAGAGCCGGACTAGACAAAACAGTTACATTCATGATCCAAATAGGGCGATGAATGTGCTTGAATTTTGAAAAAAAATGGTTTCCTTTCATCCCATTTCTCAATCATTGGCTGTTCAACCACCTTTAGAAGCTGGTATGTGTCAACTTATCTTACTTGTATATTACAGCCGCCATATAGCTGGAATATTGCTGAGTGCGGCAAAAATATTAACTCCCTACGTATACATTTTGTTACTGTGGTGGCAGAGTAGCCTATCTAGTGGTTAAGGCTTTGGCTCGTCACTCCGGGTTCTATCAAATGGGTACTGTCTGTTGGACTCGTTTCTGATATCCCAGACAGACAGACAGACATATTTATTTGTATATGTGGCCCTGAGGCCAATAGTACATGTGTACAATAATAGCAGTGCATTTATGCGCAACCTGTAAATAGGCGAGCTATAGGAACATCAATAAATCCATAAACACCCATTCACAATTTACATTTTTTCTCTCAACATAAGTATGTGGTACAACACAAGGACTAGCTTAAACAACAAGTCAATGTTTTCTGTGCGAAGTGTCATACAGAATTTATGTCTCGACGGTTGGTTATAGAAAAAATAATATCCCACTCCATGATATTGCTGGAGTGTTCCTAAGAGTGGCGCTTAACCATACTCACTCACTCACTCACTCACTCACTTCTGTTACAATAATGTGTTTGTATGGTTTAAACATATTTATTCATTTACTCATGATGGGATTGGCAAACAAGCAATAAAACATGCTTATATTAATGACGCTCCCTAACAATGATACAATAGTAATAACAATAATGATTGTGGTGTACAGATGAGCTGGGTGCAAAACATAATGCGAATCTTCAAGCAACAATATTGACGATATAATTAAGAAATACACTTCGCTCTACCACCATGTATAGTGTAATAAAACACACTTTTTCCGTGAACTATTATAACGTTAAAGCACGAGGACGCTTGCGTCCTTGTGCTTTAACGTTATAATAGTTCAGGGCATAAGTGTGTTTTATTACACTATACGTGGTGGTAGGGCGAAGTGTATTTCTTTTCTAAGATGCCAAATTTAATACTTTCTAAAGATAATTACGATTAATTTAAGGCAGAAAACAAACGACGGTGTCGGTGACCTAAATTAAGAATCCTCGCACAGGGCTAACTGGCGCGCTGTTCTATTGATGTGTCTGCCCCCTACGTTAAGACGAACATTACCAGAAAAAAACAAATGATAACAGTTTGATGACGGTTTACGTTCGGATTAAATATCTTCTTGGAATTATTTTAATTACATCTGTCATTAACGTAAACCATATGGGGCAATATGAACGTTGCATTTCAACTATCAGCAGAAGTTTAGATCAGTACATCCAGAGGAAGTTGAGTAGTCAAGCGACATTCCACAATTGCATTGTGGGAATGTAAACATTACGAACGTTACCGTGTTGCTGAAAACGTGTGAGTCGAAATGACACATTTTAACCGTAGTAAAACATAAACGTAATATTTCCACCAGTGATGTTAGCTGCGTGAAGCAACAGCAAACCAAGAAACTGGATACAACGGTGTAGTTTACTGAAGGAGGCCATACGAGGCGATGACAACTGACATGCATCGTGACGTCGCTTACATTGTGACGTAATGTAAAATGATTCGATTACGAGGGGGCACACTAGAATGGCGCACTGACGGGATAACGTCATTCAATTGTTACGTCATCAAAAAACTATACCTTTATTGTCTCATAATGTTTGTTTTCTTCGATTGCTCTAACAGCTAGGCATCTTAGAATGTGTTACAATTTGCAAACTTTCGTTGAAGGCAAATAAACTAGAAGCTGTTGTGAATATGTCTGTATATATTAGATGGGAATGAATAAAATTTTTTTAAAAAAAACAAAAAAAACAAAAAAAACAACTTAAAACAACTTCCAGTGGGGTTAATGTATATGTAAGATCATCAGACATTAGATCACCATGTCACAATGGCTAATGTTCAAGTTAATGTGCAGTTTATTGCGAACAGACGAGGTGGTCGAAATTTAGTTCAATTTGGCACAATAAATGACATTCAATTCTTTTGAACAGGAAAAACACTTCTGTTTGGCTTAACAGAATGAGCAATAGGTACTATGTACGGTCTTTGAAATATTTTGGCTTTCATAATTTGTTAAATAATCTTTCTCTTTAGAATATCAGCAGTTTGCACAAATTTGAAATTGACAATATCATTGTACTGAAACCTAAGGGCAGAATCAGTCTGTTTCCTTTCACAAAGTTCTTCTTAAGGATGTTCCCTGGTTCACTGACTTTTTTACCTTTTGTTTTAACATATTATTAGAGAAATATCATGTCATTTGATAAAAAAATGGCATACATTGCAGCATTACTACCGACAAGAGTTTTTGAAAGTTCAAAGCATATGATGTGTTTTGAGCTGTCAAGGAAAACCACAAGATGAGGAGCCTCTTCCACTTGGCTGTGCAGATGTTTTTTTTAGGAATTGTTTCCACACTCTTCTTGAATATTGTCAGTCTACAAGTTGATCTCACAACAGCATTAAGTAAATGAAACATCTATTCATAACCAGACTGCTATTTGCAAATATGAAATATCTTAACTATATCTTTATCATAAAGGTATCTGAACTTCCTGTGAACATACCAACATCGCGTGCGTGTTTCACAGTTAGTCAACAAAGGCCGATAAGCACCCAGCCGAGAGAACATTTACGGAAAAGGGCGAGTTCAACCGATTGTGACAAACCACACCCGAACACACAGCCAGCGGAAAGGTAGACTTAAGTCTTTGCTTGTGATTTTCTGTAAAGTACATATGGTCAAACTGATACCAGTTATTGTGCATTGTCAAATGATATTCATGATCTGACAGAAATATACAAGTGTTACTACGTCTTGAAATCAGTGATACTTGAGGATTTAACGCGGAAGTGGTCTACTTTCGTTATCATATTTAACGATAACCTCACGATGGTGTTGCAACTCGTAGCACTGCAGCTTACTTGATAGTTACAATTATACAAACGTTTTCACATTGACAGATTCAAAGAGTTGAATAATAGTCAGTGTTCAGGTGTAATTTCGGTGAAGGTATCCATTCAATCGTTCCTCCCACTGTGCTTTGTGCTATAACTTACTACTGGTGGCTAGGGGCCGTATCGATCATGTGCGTTGTCAGTGTTTACTGTAGAAAAAGGGTCGAGGTTATCCGAGATTGAATAGACAGCATGTATAGGATCCGAGTCTTGGCAGTGCAGATATGTGGGTTCTGTTTTCCACACCTGAAGTGCATATATCTGGCAGGAATATAGGTTTGGGCCGAACTACCCTGTTAATATACTGTTCACTATAGACAGAGAAAACACTGTGTATACCTCAATTGGGAACGGGAAGGACAGTCCATGACATCCACACCAGCGTTAGCAATAACAGGGTGGGGCTCGACGTTGTCATAGTAACATGTCAGTCCAGGATCATGTAGCTGCATATATGGCCGAAGATGATGGGTGAAAACCTGACCCTGATACTGTATGGTAGTAACATATTCCTGGACGACAATCAGCTGAGATAAGCACCATTGGCACGAATACGTTCCCAAAATTATTACGGACTTGCATGGTAAAGAATAAGGTCAATAAGATGTCAGTGTTCCCAGTCTGACTGCTCAGTTATAGATAGATAGATGATAGACATGTAGATAGATATCTCTTTATATTTACTCTGTGGCTGTGTGTGTGCGCGTGTTCGTGTACAGCTTCACATACAGATGCGCATATGTTCAGATCAATCATTGCTGCTTGTACTGAATCTAAAACAATTCTATTAAACTAAAAAGGCACAAACTGCATGTGTATCTTACAGATGGCGACCGCCGGGCTAGAGAAGAAAGTAAAGGATAATTTCCTGACGTGCTCCATCTGCTTCGAGATGTACACAGACCCGTGTACACTGAAGTGTGATCACACATTCTGCAGGAAATGTGTCACCTCATACATCCAAACCAGACCTGATGCTGTACAGTCCAAGACCATCCCCTGTCCCTGCTGTCGACAAGACACCAAAGTCCCCTACCCAAGCAGTCCGGTGGAGGAGTGGGCGGGGCAGATCAAACCCAGCATCATTATACAGGGGCTGATTGACGCCTATAGGTCCGAGGTGGCTGTGCCAGGTAAAGTGAAAATATGATATGCGTGTGTGAGTGTACATGTGCGTGCGCGTGTGCCTGCGTGTGTGTGTGTATTTAAAACCAGTGGTAGACTTAACATTGACATATGTGTGTGTAAAAAAATACCCTGCTTCCTTTCGTAGCCTTTTCAAATTGCGATGAAAATAAGTACAAATGTGCTTGTGATTACAGGGACCTCAAGCACCTGTTGTATGATCTGTCAGCAACTAGGGGAAACAACTCCAGGGGTCTTGTGGTGTCCTGAGTGTGAAGTGGTCCTCTGCGACAAATGTGTGAAGATACACCGGGTGACCCCTATTTCACTGAACCATGACCTATGTGATCTGTCGTCTAAGTCAAAGGTTAAACGGAGGATCAAGTGCACGGAACACAAGAGTAACCATGTAGAGTTCCACTGTCAAGACTGTGGGAAGGCTGCCTGTCAGACATGTTGTATCATCTACCATAGAGCTTGTAAGACTGTCGTCACCATTGAGTCTATGAAGCCAGGGATGAAGGCAGCACTGATGGAGAAGAGACTTGGCATGGAGAAGAGACTGAAAGTGAGGTCGAAGAAAGTAGACATACGAAACGAGAAGCTCCAAAGTAATTCTAGAATCACAGAGTCAGCTGTTCAAAATATTAGATTGATCTGCCAGACAGCCATTAACAAGATTAAACAGAAAGAAACACAACTCTTGGATGAACTGAATAACATATCACAGACATACGCCGACCAACTCCAAGCTGATGTGAAGCTGGAAGAGATCGAGATGCAGATGTACAGACAACATTGTGAGTTCATTGACCAGGCCTTGTTATCGGACTGTGAGATGGACCTGTATGACGCGTATCATGCCTGGGAGTCTGGAGCTGTAGAGATGGAGGATGTCAGGGATACAGAGGCAGCAGACATCCGGAGAATAGATGACATCAGGTTTACACCTGACACTGACAACGTCCTGAAGGTCTTAGATAACCTGCAGTTGGGGGAGATTGACGTCACATACCAGCATCAGGAGCAATGTCTGCCATCTCCAGTGCTGGTTGACAGGATAGATGGGAGGGTGGCGGGTGATGAGGAGGATCCTTACCTACAAGACGTGACAGTTCTGGTTGTAGATGGTGTACAGGCATGTGTTGTTACGGACTATAATAACAACTGTGTGAAATCTTTCTTCACAAGAAAGAATCATTCATGCCATAGTAAGCTTCCCCTGGAAACGTCTCCTAAAGGGATGACACAGTCGAATGAGAAGCAGGTGATGTTTGCTGTCCCTGAATCCCTTCAGATTTTAAGAATAGAAGTGACCCCTGACCTGGTGCTGCTCTCAGCCATCACAACACGTTCCGGATACTACAGTCTGGCTATTCTGAATCCTTCCTGTCTAGCAGCAGGTACTTGGGACTGTGTGGATATCCTGGACATTGCTGGACACGTGTTGAGGTCAATCACTACATACAATGGCGACTCACTGTTTTCCGACCCCTGGTTCATGTGTGTCAACAACAAGGGCAACCTACTCGTGTCTGACTGGGGGAAGAAGTCTGTGACATGTCTGACGTCAGAGGGAGATGTTGTGTGGATATACGCCCCTACTGGAGACAGAACACACACCATCCCTCGTGGTATCACAACTACCAGCACAGGAGACATCCTGCTTGTAGACAGTGACATGTACAAAGTGATACAGTTGACAGAGGCGGGGGAGTTTGCCAGGGAACTGCTCACATTAGAAGATGGCTGTGAGATATGCATGCGCGATATAGTTTATGATAAATACGGTTTCTTATTTCTATGCACAGGCACGGAAGTGAAAGAGTACATGTTTTTCTGACACAAAACTCAAAACAATGAAAGTGCAGAGCTGTGGTTTATGACATTCTGTGCCTGGTGTTAGTCAGAAATGGCTTGTGTCTTCACCAAAACGTATGGGCATAGCTTTGTCAGTGAATTGCAGACATACAATTTTCAAATAGGTCGTTTCCAGCATGAAGTGAAAACGTCCACCAGGTGAAAGATCACCAGCTGTTGTGGAGATTCCTGGGATTGCCTGAGCTACACAACGACTACTTGATCTCAACAGTGTGCTGAACCAGCTGAACTTTGAAGAAATCCCTCAAGGAAATATTCCTCTCCGTTATCCCTATGCTAGACTAAAGCTAAGAAAGAGTCTGGGTATATTATTTGTTTTTCGAAAAACGAAGAACATTTTGTGTTGGATAGAATTGAGGAATAACGAACCCGGTGCTGGTTAGGTGTTTTGTTACTCGGAAGTGTACATGTTTCCGTGTATATGACCACACCACTGTATGCGTATTTAGAATGATCTCATCATCCGTTCAACAAAGCATGGGCCCAATCAAATTCCAAACGATATTTCTAGTATTGAGCGATGTTTCCTAAAACCATATATAATTCCTTTCAAAACGTTTAGACTCGCTAGTGTAATATACTTCCCATCAAAAGTTTAGACTGTTTTAAGTGAGTCTAAACTTTTGAAAGGAAGTATACAAATTGAAGTCTTGAGGTCAAGGGTATACTGTATCCCTGTTTTCACATATTATACACAGGAGACACTATAATGAAATGTCACCCCAAGCCAAATTGTTCTGTTTTCAGATTTTATTGCTTGTTAGGAAGTAAAATGAATGTGCGCAGTTTTCATTTCTGTACGTTAGATGACCCTGAAGATGAGAAATTCATGTGATAATATGGTTGGACAAGGACATTTAGTGAGATTTCAGGTATTAAATTATATTATTTCGTAGAGCAATGCTAACATTTGAAATACTTGACGTCACGTTTCTATTTTGTGCACCCATTTCCCCATTTCCTATACATCAGACCATTATATTGCACATGTATATTTCAGTTTTGGTTCTGTTTTGCTTCGTTTCTCTTTGTAGCTGCATGACGATGAATGAACGAGTGTGTAATTCAATGGAATGAGGTGTAATGCCGCTTTGAACAGCTGCACTCAGCAAGTCAATTAGAAGGGCATGATGATGAGAGACACACAAAATACTGTGAGTAGACTATACTAGAGAGGAGGACAAGGACATTTGGTAACATTTGGCCCCACCTTTTATAGATGTAATTGCTGGGACGAGATCGCAAATCTGGGATACCAGTCTGAGATACTGTCAGTCTAGATTGTATGTATATTTTGGCCAGCGACAGATATTGTTTGACGGTGATACTTTTGGTGATAAAAAGTTGTAGGTAATTACATTGAAAATACATAAAGTGTCAGTTTGTTCAAAGTATGTTTCTTTTGGTGTTAGTGAAATGGGACACACTCTGTTTATGAAAGACGTCAAGTATATTTGTAATGACCCATGGAATTCCATGTTAATAAGATATGTGATTACAATAATAGGAAGGATACAGTTTCCCTAACAACCACATGCATGAACATTCCGGAAATTTAAAAGAAAAAAACACTTTCCACATTCGCGGAAAAAATATTAAAATTACACTTGAGTGTTTGCCAGTTCATTTGACCCGGCGTTAAAATGAGGCAACATTTCTTGTCTTTCTTTCTCAATGTTCATTCACATGTCTCTGGTCAATTTCACTTAGCTGATTCAAACAAGTTGGGAATTGACATGGAGCGTGCGATATACTATGCATTTAGGAGCTGCAGGAGCCATGAGACTTGTGTGAGACTTTTACGAAAGTTTAGCTTCATTTCCGGAGGATATCAGATGAGTGGCTGTGCCCTCTATATATTATCTGATTTATCAAGGCAATACGTCGAACTTTTGTCAAAATGTAGAAGCATTTTGTTTCTTGAGCATGACATAAACTGTCTAGTAATAATTCTGAAATATGAGCGAAAAAACGATAGAAAATATCCATGATAGCCTAATAGGGTCTTGTTCACACGAAGGTATTTGTGGGTTTTTTCTAACTGCACCCAGAGCAATATTAAAGCTGACAATCCAGGCTGAGCTCCAGTAGTGCATGTTAATTATTCGTGTTCGATGATAGTTTCTGACTAAGGTTAGGTCGCATTTCAGCCTGAGTAGCAATGTGGTCTTTGACGTAGAGTGGGACTAGACAAAACGGATACATTCATGGTCCAAATAGGGCGATGGAGCTGCTTGAATTCTCATTATTCAAGCACGGTCTGTGATCGTGATGCATGTGCACTACAACTTTAGCTGTGTACAAAGTATGGTTATATGGAAAACAGTAATAATATACTGATTTCTGTGAAACATAGCTTTATGTTTGCCATTGTACATAACAGTTGCAAACAGGAACGATATATACTGAAAGCCATTAAAAATGCAATTTGACATTCATACTTTCTTTACTCACACTAATTTCAACATATATATACCAAACTGGCAGATATGTTTTAAGTGAACATCTGTGAATAATTACATCTGAAAATGTCCAGTCAACAACAACATCAGTGACGCAACAACGACATCACACAAAGGAGGGGTCACTTTCAGTCAATATCGTGTGTGTCCACCGTGCGCTGCAAGACATGCTCGCAGTCTTTGGGGCATTGAAAGACACACATTTCTCAGGAACAGTTGTTGGATGGTCTGCAGTCTCTGATGGTCTGTGGTCTGATCAAGACACCCACACCCCACACCCCACACCCCACATCCCGCACCCCCTCCAAAACGATCATGTTCAATGACACAGTTTGGCGCAAGTCTTTCTTCTTTACGTCGATAAATCTGTTGACGTCCATCTGCAAAGGATAAGTTAAACAAAGATTCATCTGAAAAAATGACATCTGGCCATGTCCTGTTGCCAAGATTGGTCCTATTTGCTGCCCATCGCTGTCTGGCAAGTCTGTGGCGATGCAATAAGGTTGGACCACGGTACGGGTGACGACACCGGATGTTGAATGCAGCAAGGCGTCCTTGCACCATTTGGGCGCTGAAATGACGTTGACTTGTCCCAATTGTCCTCCTTGCCTAATCATCAGCTGTTTGGAACCGATTTGCAAGTGTGAAACTCGGATATTGCGGTTTTGTTGAGCTCTTATCACAGGTGGTGCACCAGGTCGCGGACGATCAGCAACACTTCCGGTCGCCCGAAAACGTTGTCTGAGTCGACTTACAGTGGATGGATGCACATTAAAGTGCCTGGCAATCATCACATCCGAAGCACCTTGGATGACCATACCGATAACCTGATTCCTTTCGTCTTGTGTCAAGTGTGGCATTTTCTCAAAGTGATAGAGTTCCACAATTCCTTGTGCTTTTACAGGGCCTGGGTGCAGGTAACGCATGTGCACAGCGTGTTTCATGAATGTGGTTGTGTTTACGAGAAGTGTCAAAGGTTCAGTTTTAAGTATCACAGTTCACTCGAAATGGGCCAGAACAACAGCCTTTTATTCCTACATCCTCTGTATCGCAGGAAAAAAACTTCAATAGAACTTTTGTAAGTTTCAGGACAACAAATACCAATTGCGTTTTTAATGGCTTTCAGTATTAGTTTAAAATTTGCACACCTCAGGAGGCCATATCATGAACTCAACTTCTATTTGAAGTATCAAATCATTTACTAGCATCATCAAAAACTGTTCCCCTGAAGTTGGGGCAAGATTTCTTCACTTTTTGAGTATTTCTTTATGTTACCTATAAACAACACAAATGGAGAACAGTACAACTAAAACAGACTGTATAATTTTCAAATGTAATGTATGGCCCTTCGTGGATTGAGTTATAGACAAAAAAGATATTATGAACATGAAACAGCCAAGTAAAGAAAGGCCATCAAAAGAAATGTTTCCCATTCTATAACTAAAAAGTACTCCACCCTTTACATGAAACTTGGAATAGTAGAGAAAACATACCATTCAACCAATAGCCTGATAGGAGGGTGACTTTAAAAGATGACCAAGGAACTTCAGTAGATTCGACAGTCACGTACACCAATGTCATGGGGATGTAATTAGTTTTGTGTTGTTTGTTGTTGTTGTTTAACGCTCAACTCAGCAATATTCCAGCTACATGGCGGAATACTGTAAATATTCGTGTCTTTACCAGTCAATCCAGTGATCAACATCATGAGATTCGATCTTGGGAATTGGGATACGATAACATGTGCCAACCAAGACGGCGAGCCTGACCACCCGATCCCGTTAGTCGTCTCGTCGTCTCTAAGGACCAGCTTGGGTTGCTGCAGATCACTTCTAAGCCAGATCTTCACAAGTTGTAATTACCAGTCAGAGGACGTCCGGTACTATAGCTACCTGGCAACCGGAGCGGTGGGGTGGCCTAGTGGGTAAAGCGTTCGCTCCTCACGCCAGTGACTCGGATTATGGGTAACGTTAAAGGAAATATGCATGCATTCAACTCTTTTCCTCAATTGTTTGTGACACTTCAGTTTTGGTGTGTGTGTTTTGTTCAATTGGATGCCCTACATTCATTTTCAGTGTTGGAAAGTGTTTTGCATGAATGAAAGGGAGACAACACTACCGAGATCATTCCGAGGTTCCAGCGGTGTAAATGTACTCCATAGAGGAAGTAAGCACATAAAAGAGGCTAAACAACAGTCAATCAGTACCTGTGGAACAAGTGAACCGAGAGAGCGAGAGACAACATCGTGTTCGGAGGGAGCGTTGCTCCGCTCTAGAATACTTTGGTGAGCACTAAGCATCAAGTGCTTTATATTTTTTCTGTATGGGTATTTGCAATGACCTCAGTTTGTAATTCAATAGACTTAGTGTAATGCTGCTTTGAATAGTTGTACTCTAGTAATTCAGTTA